CACCAACATGTAGCTTGTGGTTGTCACAGATGTCCAGCAGTCTGTTGTGAGGCACACAGCAGGAGCACTCTTGATTTTTTCAAATACCTAAGCTCTTAGCTTTTCATACATTTTAGGCAGTAGAATTTGGGATAATGTTTTCCAGCTAGACAGAGTGTATGAAGGGTTCAGGGTCTTTAAAACTTCTCTGAAGCCTTTGTCCTCGACTATGGAAAATGGTTGATAGTCATAAGCAATAATTTTAACCAGTGCTTCATCCAGTTTGTTCTGCCTGAGAGGATCCATTGGCCTTGTAAGGTAATTCCCCATCATTGTTTGTTGTGGCCTCCGTGGCCTAACTGATGCTTGGGTGGTGATGGTGGTGGTGGGTGCTGCTGGTGCAGAAGCTGTAGCCAGTGTTGCAGCAGCAGTGGTTTGAGGTCCAGATGAAGTGCTGCTGGTGGAGATATTTGGAGCTGATGCAGCGGCTCCACTGTCACTCTCCACCCTCACTTGTGCTAAAGGCACAGTTGGATTCGACATTTTGAGATTGCATTTGACCCTACTGGCTGAAAAATCACTAAAGTGGTACCAAACGTCACTCCTTCCACCCATTTTTCTGACTTGCTCAGTCCTCTGTTGTTTGTGTTCTGATTTAACCTGGCACCTAATGTAAATGTGTGGAGGTGGGTGGGGGATGGGTCACTACCCCAACGGAGCCTGGATGACAGTAGCACTCAATTTGTGGCACAGGATCACGTCACTCCTGGTAGCCCACTCTGTGCGACATTAAAATGTGACTAGGTGAAAAGTTGTCTCATGAGAGTCAAACAATTGTCAATTTTCACTCCCTTTCATGCCAAACATCAATTAGCTCAGGCAGTAGAAAACATAAAAACGCCAACTAGTGAAGGTGGTTTCGCACAAGTGATGCGACACCGGCATGTGTGGTGACTGTAAGTGAACCTCCTCTTGCGCTGTAAGGTGTGAACGCTGACAGACAGTGTGACAAAGTGCTCTTTAAACCGAGTTGTAAACTTGGTCTATATGAGCTGCGCTTGATCAAAGGCTCTGAAGTTAACATTTAGTGAGGATCTGTGATGCGTTTCTGCCTCTCATCCAACGCTGAACGGTTATGTGTTTGTTAGACAGACTGAAGCTTTAGAAGCGCAACGTATAGGGCAGGTAGACTTTTAAAAAATCTCATTGAATGAATATTGTTTTCTCCCGACATGTCAGAAAACACAGATATGTGTAGAAAGTTTTGAACATGACCAAAAAAGCAGAGTGGATGAAGTACAGGAGCTATAAGATTTTAACGTAATTAAAATGATATGATCCAAAATAAATAAAATAAATTAAAATAAATTAAAACAAGTTAAAAGAACCAGAGACCACTGGTTTGTTATGATTTCATGAATGAATACTTTCTTATGATATTTTATTAGTTTGTGGCAGATAATAATATAAATAATACAAAATAAAAATATGTATTTACAAACACACTTTACACAATAACACCATATACATCTACCAGAGCTGAAAACCAATAATTATGATTTCATGAACAAATAATTTATGTCGGGTGTCACGAGACAAAACAAAGCGTACCTCAGGACGGACGCTGAGAATGAATCACTCACCCATTAAAAAATAAATAAATAAATTTGTATTACAGTGGTATGAAAAAGTTTGGGCACCCTGATCATTTTCAAGATTCCTGTATGGATCATTGGTTGTTTGGAACAGCAATTTCAATTAAATATATCATATAGCAAACAAACACAGTGATATTTAAGAAGTGAAATGAAGTTCATAGGATTTACAGAAAGTGTGCAATAATTACTTAAACAAAAGTAGGCAGGTGCATAAATTTGGGCACCCTTGTTGTTTAATTGATTTGAATACCTTTAGCACTAATTATTGGAACACAAAATTTGTTTGGTAAGCTCATTGACCCTTGACCTACATACACAGGTGAAGCCAATCATGAGAAAGGGTATTTAAGGTGGCCAGTTGCAAGTTGTTCTCCCCTTTGCATCTTCTCTGAAGACTGGCAACATGGGAGCCAGTCAAAACAACTGTCAAAGACCTGAAAACAAAGATTGTTCAACATCATGGTTAAGGGGAAGGATACAAAAAGCTGCTGTCAGTTTCCACTGTGAGGAACATGGAAGACTACAGGCACAGTTCTAGTATATTGATCGTATATTTGAGAAATTGTTGTGTTGGCAGCAGATATACTGTTAACAGGCTTCCCCTAGCACGCGCCAAACATGTGGTTACTCTGGGTATCGAACCCAGACTTTTTTGTTCACAGGCGTGCTACCCGCTACACTGTGGAACCGAAAGATTAGTTCACAGTGAAAGATTACTTTGCAGAGTAATTATATCGTAGTGAAAGATTAGTTCACAGAGAACGATTCGTTCACAGCGAAAAATTAGTTCTCGGCGAAAGATTAGTTCACAGTGAGTGATTAGTTCGCAGAGAGTGATTTGTTCGCAGTGAGTGATTTGTGAGTGATTCATGAGTCAATATGAACAAATATTTAATATGACTCGGTAGTCACGAGTCACAAATCTTTCATATGACTCGGGATTCACGAGTCATATGAAAGATTCGTGACTCGCGAACGACACATCGCTAGTTCACAGTGAAAGATTAGTTCACAGAGAGTAATTCGTTCACAGCGAAAAATTAGTTCACGGCGAAAGATTAGTTCACAGAGAACGATTCGTTCACAGCGAAAGATTAGTTGACAGAGAATGATTTGTTCACAGAGAGTAGTGATGTGTCGTTCGCGAGTGATTCGTTCAAAATGAACGAATATTTAATGTGCCTCGTGATTCCCGAGTCATATGAAAGATTTGTGACACGTGACTACCGAGTCATATTAAATATTTGTTCATATTAGTGATGGGAAGACCGACTCTTTTTATTGATTCGAATCTTTGACTCTCGAAGAGTAAAATGAACGAGTCGTGAACGAATCTTGAACTAATCATTTCATTCGTTTTACAGCAGGTGGCGCTTTAGCCCTATTGTGGGCGTTGTAAAGAAGGCTGCGGTTCTCCGACACTAAATACTGAAGGCAACATGGTTTGTTTCCGCTGACAAAGTCTACAAAGTACACAAAATGCCATAAGCAATTGAAACCATGCAAAAAGCTAAGAAATAAAAACACACCACAATGTGAAGATGAATGAGAGCAAAAAAGACCCGAGTTCTATCAGGTGACAAATGAAACGAATCTGCGAGAACGAGGCGAAATATTAGTTCACAGAGAATGATCCGTTCATAGTGATTAGTTCACAGCAAAAGATTCGTTCACGGCGAAAGATTAGTTCACAGAGAATGATTTGTTTGCAATGAAAGATTAGTTGACAGTGAAAGATTAGTTGACAGTGAAAGCTTAGTTCATAGAGAGTGATTCGTTTGCAATGATAAATTAGTTCACAGTGAAAGATTAGTTTGCAGAGTAATTCGTTCGTAGTGAAAGATTTGTTCACAGTGAGTGATTAGTTTGCAGTGTGATTAGTTCACAGCGAAAGATAAGTTCAAAGAGAGTGATTCGTTCATAGCGAAAGAGTAGTTCACGGTGAAAGATTAGTTCACAGAGAGTGATTTGTTTGCAATGCAAGATTAGTTCACAAAGAAAGATTAGTTCACGGAAAAGATTAGTTCACAGAGAATTATTCGTTCATAGCGAAAGATTAGTTCATGGCGAAAGATTAGTTCACAGCGAAATATTAGTTCACAGTGAAAGATTAGTTCGCAGTGAAAGATTAGTTCGCAGAGAGGGATTTGTTCGTAGTTAAAGATTAGTTCACAGTGAAAGATTAGTTTGCAGAGAGTGATTTGTTCACAGTGAGTGATTAGTTCATAGCGAGTTATTAGTTTGCAGTGAGTGATTCGTTTGCAATGAGTGATTAGTTCAAGACTTATTTGTGAGTGATTTGTGAGTTCACCATGAACAAATCTTTTATATGACTCGGGACTCACGAGTCAAAAATCTTTTATGTGATTCGGGAATCACGAGTCATATGAAAGTTGAAAATGAAATATGAACATTTTTTTCAACAGTGGAGGACCTTAGCAGTTTGTGTCACCATCTAGCAAGGCCATTGTTGGTGCCGAAAATTACGTTATTCAATCACCACTATTGTCATCTAACTGCCGCAGATAGAATGACCTGAAAAGAACCACACCTGACAACGTTGTACTTTTTACTCACTGCGAGGGGGAGCAGAGAGACCAACAGCTTCGCAGAGCTGGCTCACCTAAGTCCCAAAGTGTATGAGGACTGCAGCTCCTTTTATTGAAAAAGTTTCACAAGTACTGGGCAGTTGTTTTTTCTTTAGGTTTTACTCTTAGGGCAAAGTTCATCTGATTCCTATACTTGATGAGAAACAGACCTCATCCTTTATGGACCTACATTGTAAAACAACTTTTAGGAGAACCAATTCCTATCAAGCAGACCATTATTTAACACACTTAGAAAACAGTTTATGGATCAACACACTTTGGTAACTAACTATAAATTCTATTTACAGCCATCTTTTACAACATTTGCTAAACTGAAGAGCGAAAGGGAATGTAAAAAGAACCTGGAAGAATGTCAGTGTCTTGAATGTACAAAAACACATCTAAAGAATGTATAAATGCATTAATTACATTTAAAACAATGATATTATTTCTATGTAAGTAAATTATATTTGGTTGTGGGTAACATGCAATAAAGCCACCATAAGAGAATGGATTTTGCTAAAGAGAAGCGTTACTAAAAGTGACACCTGGTTAATGCATGACTTCTTTATAACTCTGTTTTGTTTTTTAATATTTGTGCTGTATGCCTTCAGTAGCTAATGCTAACAAAACCTAAAGGCGTGTTCTCTTATATGTCAGAAATAGCAAAATGCAAGGGACAACAGTAAATGCCTGAAATAGATGGTGCAAAATTCAATATGCCCTTAGCCGACTACCTGTTTCTTGACTGCTACCAGTACCCGTACTACCGTAAATGCAAAACACAACGCGCAGAGAAAAAAACTTCCAACGCTGCTCTTCGGTTTTGTCGGGATATCTAGTTCCTATACTGTCGCTGGTGCTGTAACAATGGATACAAAATAGCCAGTTCAGTGTTCACGTTTTGTTAATTGCAAATATTCATAAAACATTGTCGTGTCTCTTCTCATCCCGGATCCAGGTCTAATTCCCCGTGTCTTCAGTGTCCACGGTAGGTAGATGGAGAAAAAGCGACCAAGCTAGCTGTAAGGTCCGAACAACGTAAATAAGTAACGTTGGCGTAAAGGTGTGACATATTCGTTGTCACTCGTTGCAATACATTTCCAGGTCGATTTTCCAGCTTAAACAGCCAACAGTCGAGCTCATATAGCCTAAAGAACCGGTTTGAAACCATTGCCTAAAACAATCTCTGACAAAGACAAGTCGTGGCCCTAGATCACATGTGTCAAACTCAAGGCCCGGGGGGCAAATGCGGCCCGCCAAGCAGTCCTATGTGGCCCACGGGAGCTTAAAAAGCATTTAGTAAAGTCCATGCAGTAGAGTTCCTTAACCTTAACCTTTTTTATTACACAGCAATGGACGATATCTGTAGGTTGAATAAATAATAATCAATTGCAGAAACATGTATTAGTCTGTGTCGAACTGCGGCCCGGTACCAAATGACCTATGGACTGGTGCTGTTCTGCGGACTGAGGGTTGATGTCCCCCGATCTATACAGTCTTCCATTTACAACCGGCCCTTCAAGCAGATCTGTATTGCTGATGTGGCCCCTGGTAAAAATTAGTTTGACACCCCTGCCTTAGATAATTAGATTAATTTACAGTTATAGATATTGTGTTGTGACATGCAGTAATTTAGTTTCTAAAGGCTTAAAATAAGTCCTGCAAACAGGTTCAAAACAGGACTTCGAAGTAGAGTTAATCATTGCTTTATTGTTTAGCCTTTTTACAATCACCTGGACAACCAAGTGTGATTTGTGGATTTCTTTAATATTTTGTTCTTGTATAAGATTGTATGATAAATCTAAAAATTAAAATAAATAAATAAAAAACACTTTGAATGTCGTTACTTCCTGGCCTACTGGTGTGTTGATTAAAGTGCAATGTAAAACAAAATAAGGAGTAAAGAAAATAAGGAAATGCTCAATAATCTACCCTGACACCAGAGTCCGTCCAAGAATGTGGCTGTATGTGTCCTCAAACCACCTCTGAATGTGGTTTTTGTACTCAGATCTGTGGATGTAATCACAGCTCATTTAGGACTTCCAGCTGATTACATGTGATTGGATTATTTGAGTGTATGTTAATAAACTATTGACACTATTGTATTTTGGGAGAAAAGGTAAGTGGCATAAGATGATTGTACTGTAGAGTATGCACCCACTATGTGAGTGTATGCAAACACTAGTAACCTGTAGGGATATGGTTTTGATGAAAGTAGATAGACTTTAAAAAAATATATTTTAAATTTCAAATATGTCCCGGCTGAGGTTTGTGGTGTCTCTAAACAGTCACAAAATAACCATGGGTGGGTTGGGAAACGGACGTCGTGGAGGACGATCACCCCCTCTCCTGATTGGTGCTCTGATTGCCTGTATCCTGGTTCTCGGATTTAACTACTGGGTCTCAAGCTCCCGCAACCTGGAGCTACAGGTCAGTTAACGTTCATTTTTTCTGTGGTATCTGACTCATGCTTTTGGTAAACTCAGTGTTGTCTGAATGATTTTTGCCGGCATAGTATTTAGTTGTTGTAACGACCTATGCATGTTACAGACAAAGCTGTATGAGTTGGAGGGTCAGGTACGGAGGGGAGCAGCAGAGCGAGGAGACGCAGAGCTGAAGAAGACCGAGTTCCAGGAGGAGATCCAGAAACTGAAGGAGCAGATCATCCACATTGAAAGTTTCTACAAGAGTCAAATGGAAGCAGCTGGGGACACTTGTGTGAAAGATAAGGTCACACATCCTCCAGTTCAAATCTGAATTAATTGCTTTGGAGAGTAGTTGTATTTTTTTTTAAAGTGTTTTTTTGCCTTTAGGCCATAATTCAGCAGAACATTTCATCCTCTGCAAAATCCACGCAAGAACTCAGAGGTTACTGTTGAAAGTAAACATTGTCTTCTCAAAATCTACAGAATCAAAGTCTGACTAGTTTAATCTTGGTTCTTGATCATCTCTATTTTAGCTACATTGAACCAGCTCAATGACAACCTGGCGAAGCAGGAGAAGGACCTGCAGAGTTGTCAAGGCAACATCAATGCCCTGAACACCAAACACACAAATGAAATGTAGGAAAACAATATTTAATTTACAAATTTGGTCAAATTTAATAATGTCAAAGTGTTTTATCCTGATCCGTGCTTTTTGTAGCTTGCATGATACCACTACACACAATGGAGTGTATTGGTGAGTTTTTATGTATTCTAAAGGGCGTGTCTTTGCACACACATTCAGGACAACCTGTCACTCTCAGATCCTGTCTCAAAAGGAGCTGTGTGATGAAAAAGTGGAGGCTGTTAAACTTGAAATTAAGAAAAAGATGGAGAAGCTTAACCCTGCCCCCAGTGGTCTTTCAGTGGTGAGTCAGCAAAATTTGATCTTATGGGAAATATAATTGTGGTCGTCTGAAATGTAGTTTATCAAGTTAAAAAAAAATTATAACATAATTCTTCCTATTTATAGTATAATTTATACTATTTATATTATAGTATAAAAAGAAAGCAGAAAAAGTGAACACTAAATGAGATGTGGAGTTCCAGGTCAAAATAGAAACCAGAACACAAAATCAGATTAAATGCAAAGGATTTCCTCAAATTCTTTTTTAAATAAATACAGTATGTAATGTAATATTTACTCTCTTTCCCAGGATAACTCTAAAGCTGGAGCAGCAAAAGAAAGGGAACCTGTAAATGCTGAAGAACCAGCACAGATAAAAACTGCTGTCAACCAGAACTCAAGCCTTTCTAAGCCCACAGAAAATAAAGTGTCTCATCTGCTGACTAATGACATCATAGTAGACAATGGTAAAACATAGTAAATATTTGAAAAATCACTTTGTTGTTTCTATTATGCTTTGTTTCTTCTCTTTTTTGTTTTATTCCAGCCCCTGATGCCCCAGTGTACCACTCACCTATGAATCTACCTAAGGAAGTCGGTAAAAAGGAGTCTCCCTCTGCTGCTGCTGCCAAGCAGGACACGATGCGACCACCAGATGGCCCTGTGAAAACACAAGTGGGTGAGACAAAAACTGACAAAGATGTAAAGAACAACCTGAGTGAAATTAACGCTGTGGGGGTGATGGATGTTCACGAAGAGGAGGAGCAAACAGAAGGTAAGAAAAGAAGTTTATAGTCTACGATGGATGTCTCCTGAAAATGGTGGTTGTCTCAAAACACAACACAGTTTTAATGATGAAGTTGTAAATTTGTTCACATGCAGACCTTGGTGTGGGACCCATGCTGGATAACCAGGGGAAGGCCCATGAAAATCCTGTTAATCAGAAATTGGAGGAACCGGATGATTATGATGCAGTGAAACAAATAGTGGAAGAAGAAGAAGTGGACAAAATGCCGGGAAATAAAATGGCTGAAAATATAGGTATTTGTGCTTTAATTTGCCTCTTTTTTCAGGTTTATCTCAGGACTGCTGAATGTCCCTAGAAAGTTCAGAGACACGGTCTGAATAAGTGACCAAGCTGTTGTATATAAAGAATGAACAAAACTGTGATTGTCTGTGTTTGTATATGTCCTACTGTGTGACAGACCTGGATATGGAGGAGGAACTGGCCGACTACAATGGAGATGATGAGAATGAAGGGGAGTTTGAAGCAGACAAACAAGCAGAGCTGGCACAGAAATGAGGTTGTGCTCATGACCTTCACCAACATCGTAACAAATAAATGTAAGATGACACATTTAAATGGACCATCATGGTTTCAGTTTGATCCCATCCACTCATCATTTCCCACACAGTTTCAAGAATGATTAATTGGTTCATTTTATTATCGTTGTGTCATCTGCATCCATTTGATCAATACAAACTGACAGAAAAAGTAACACTCAACATTTGTAGAGCATCGTCTTATTATTAATTCATTACAAGTTGATATTGTTTATCATATCAACAATGAAGAAATCATATTCAACCATTTATCTGCCCTTCCTGATTCATCCTAACCTGGGACTGGGAATTTCAATGCAATCCCTCTAGCACTAATCATATCAGCAATTTCCCTTTATAGATTAACAAATACAAAATGCAGTGTAGCTACTTTTTGAATGTCAACATAAATCTCAGTTATTTCTCACAGCACAAAATGACCGGCCGTTATTTTCTTTCTCCTCACGTATTTAACTTCTAATTCTTAAGATCTAATTCTTCTTTTGTTTGTTTTTGATGTCAGGAGTGGCATCTGACGAACACGGGTGGATTTAGATGCAGAACATGTTTAACACTCCAACACCTGGGATCCACACAGGTCACTGCAGAAGTGGAAACATACTAAACAAGAAATAAATCACTGTCCATTTTTTTGTTCTATCCAGGATTTGGTTGATAAGTTGTCTTCTGTCATCTGAATCAAGTCTGCCTACATGATATTCCTAACTACATCTAAAACACTCATTTGCAGCAATTGTAACTGGTTATGATCAATAGCCACCACCAATGGGCAACAATGCTAATTTGCCTCCATTTTGAGGTGCTTCCATTCTCTCATCATTTTTTTATTGTCAACTATTTTGAGGAGGTTAATTTTTGTCATTTATGTGCATTCACATATATAAATATTTATAGAGTCTATTAAGTCAATGGGAGTGTGTTAAAAGTAAAATAAAAGTATAATAGTTCTAGATTTGTTTTCTTTATTTAACAATAAGTAAATTGGTTTTATATTCGTTGTTCATGTTTACTCTGTGACTTATAGGGTAAAGAGATTAGTTGAAAATTACACGGACTGATCCTAGTGACTGGATGATATGAATGACCTCTGCCTTTCGCTCAGCGGCACAGCAGTAGATGGAACAATGCCTTAAAAGCATGTTATCAATGAAGGAAGTGTATTGATACCCATGCTCATTGTTATTCCTGAAAACAATGTTATTCTGTTTACTGTAGATCAAAAGGTTTGGACTGGCCAAAGTAAATACCACATTTTACAAATTACAGACCATTATCTATGAAACTATTTAAACGTGTGCTCAACTGCTTTTAGGCTTTACTTCAAATCGTTTTCAAACATGCTAGGTTTAGTTTAGTTGCTACAAACTATGAAACAATGAACTTTTTTTTCTGATCAAACTTCATTTGATATATATACTTAATACTATAAAAGGCTGTATCAAAAAGGGTTTTCTCAAAATAAAAAAATACTGTTGCCCACCTGGTTATTAAATCTAGAATTTCCAGCTACACAGAATCATCATTCTAAACTAGTGATGTGTCGTTCGCGAGTGATTCGTTCATATGACTCGTGACTCCCGAGTGATATGAATGATTCGTGACTCGTGACTACCGAGTCATATTTAATATTTGTTCATATTGAACTCACGAATCACTCACAAATCACTCACTGTGAACTAATCACGCTCTGCGAACTAATCACTCTCTGCGAACTAATCTTTCACTACGATCTAATTACTCTGCAAACTAATCTTTCACTGTGAACTAATCTTTTGCCGTGAATGTATCTTTCGCTGTGAACTAATCACTATGAACGGATCATTCTCTGTGAACTAATCTTTCGCTTCGTTCTCGCAGATTCGTTTCATTTGTCACGTGAAGGAGCTCTGGTCTTTTTTGCTCTCATTCATCTTCACATTGTGGTGTGTTTTTATTTCTTAGGTTTTTGTATGGTTTTAATTGCTTATGGCATTTTGTGTACTTTGTAGACTTTGTCAGCAGAAGCAAACCATGTTGCCTTCATTATTTAGTGTCGGAGAACCGCAGCCTTCTTTACAACGCCCACAATAGGGCTAAAGCGCCACCTGCTGTAAAACGAATGAAATGATTAGTTCAAGATTCGTTCACGACTCGTTCATTTTACTCTTCGAGAGTCAAAGATTCGAATCAATAAAACGAGCCGGTCTTCCCATCACTATTCTAAACAGAAGCGCTAACAAGAGATACATGGTCTTTTTATTTAACTGTGAGTTTTAACATTAGCCCCTACAGGAAGAAGATGGAACGCAGTCCTGCATCAACACTCCAGTTCAAACTAGCTCCATTTCCTTTTATTTTCTTTCAGGTTGGGAACGCCTAAGATGTAACTGTGTCCTACATCGTGATTAATGTCTTAGACCAGGGGTGTCACAACTAATTTTGGGTCACGGGCCACATACAACCTAATTAGATTTCAAGTGGGCCGGACCAGTACAATCATAACATAGTTAACTACAAATGACAATAGGTCTTTGTTTTCATGCAAAAAAGCATGATTCAGATCTTTGACTCTCGAACAGTAAAATGAACGAGTAAAGAAGGCTGCGGTTCTCCAACACTAAATACTATGTAATTTCTATGTACTTACAGTAATGGCGCCTCCTTTGGCAGCCTATGTCAGTTGAAAAAAAAAAATCACAGTATATTTCCCAGTTGTGGGACAAGTAAGGGACTCTTTTTTTTTCTTCCCATGGACTTCAGCTGATTATTGGCTTTGTTCTTGTCTCTCTTGTTTTTCATTGCCTCTCTCTTTTTTCTTAAGCCACCTCATCTCTATGCACTCGCTCCCTTCTAAGTCACCCTTACACACATCCCCTCTTATTGCTCAGATCCCTGGTACCATCTCTTTAACCATCTCCCTGACCATGTTTTTCATTGATCTTATCAGCTGCCGCCTCCCCTGCTCTCACACATGTTCTGATGAAACCCAATGTAGCACTTTTACTTCCGCTGACAAAGTCTACAAAGTACACAAAATACCATAAGCAATTAAATCATGTGAAAACCTAAGAAAGAAAAACACACCACAATGTGAAGATGAATGAGAGCAAAAGAGACCGGAGCTCTGTGCCACGTGACAAATGAAACGAATCTGCGCTAAGCGAAAGATTAGTTCACAGAGAGCGATTCGTTCCTAGTGAAATATTAGTTCACAGCGAAAAATGTGTGTCTTCCAGGATGTAGAGATGCTGCAAGTAGACCAACCTCACTTTCAGCATGTCCTGCAGATTGTGTCTGCGCTGGAGGCAGTCGTCCTTCGTAGTTTTGGTCCTAATGGGGGACAGGTGCTTTTTACCAAAGACACGGGAGAAGCCATAGTCACCCGCAGTGGGACACGCATTCTGACCGCATATGAACAAATCGTTCATATGATTCGGGAATCACGAGCCATATGAAAGATTTGTTCATATTGAACGAATCACAGTGAACGATTAGTCAGTGAACGATTAGTTCAGTGAACGATTAGTTCGCAGTGAACGATTAGTTCGCAGAGAGTGGTTAGTTCGCAGTGAGTGATTCATAGCGTATTCATATTGAACGATTCACTCGCGGACGACACATCACTACACCAGAGACAATACCATGTCCAGATAGAGTCTGTCGACCGTGGAAAGTTATGTGGTGGATCTCTGCTTAACACCCGCTGGATCATCACTGCGCAAAATAGTAAGATACTTGTGTCTCCAACATTAGGGAATTAAATAGACTATTTCCAAAACATGTACCAGGAGGAACCCTGGTCATTTTCAGATTTTTTTTCACTACAAAATTAATTAAGGAGAAAAAAAAAAGCCGACGCACGCAAAGATTCTTACGACACGTTGCTTTCAGGAAAGCAAGCAAACAGCAATTGATCACTGTCGACATTTCAAAATAAAATGTTTGACTATTACCTATTTTGTTACCAATTTTTTATTCTGAATTTCCAGGGGATTAAGTAGTTGAATTGCTTTTACTCTTTCAGGTAACGTCAATGATTCTTTTTAAAGTTACCAGACCCTCCCACCCCCCAAAAAACAAAACATTCTTCTTTAGTTGGTCGTACCTATACTGAAGAACTCTCCAACAAGAAAATGGGGAAACAGTGAGGAAGCAGCTGGCAGATGGCCTGGCTAGGATCGATCAGAGCCAGCTCCCCGGCAAGTACAGGGTATGGAGTTACCAGTTCATACTGTACCCAAAGGTGATGTGGCCTCTGAAGATGAGCGAAGTATCCTCATCCATGGTGGACAAGATGGATAGGCTGGCAAACTCGTTCATCAGGAAGTGTCTGGGACTGCCGAGATGCCTATCAGATGTAAGCCTCTTTAGCAGAAACACACTGCAGCTGCCCCTGCGATCCATAGGTCTGGGCTACAAACGAGAAGGCCCGCATAGTGCTGGAGCTGAGGGATTTGACTGATCAACTGGTGAGAGCAGCTGCCCCCCAAGTACGAACAAGGAGAAAGTGGAAAGCCCAGGAAGTGGTGGAAGGGCGATCAGCAGACTGAAGAGCAGAAAGCCATGCTGGTGGCAGAGGTGACAAGGACCGAGCTGGAACGCGTTAAAATCAAAGCGGTGGCTCAAAGCCAACAGGGAGGCTGGATGTCATGGGAAGGTGTTACAGACAGGACTCTGGCATGCACTGATATGTGGAAGATGCCCCAGGCCAGGCTCAGCTTCCTGATCAGGTCGTCCTACGATACCCTGCCTTGTCCCAGAAATTTCCACCTGTGGTTTGGTGTGGAAGAGTCCTGTGCTCTGTGCAGCACTGGCAATGCAAGCCTCCAGCATATCCTGTCAGGCTGTAAGACAGCATTGTCCCAAGGCCGCTACAGGTGGCGTCATGTCTTGGTGTTAAGGAAGCTGGCAGAGGTGGCGGAGTCATGCAGACAGGAGGCCAACAACAGACCTTCCACCTCAGCAAGACCTCTGATACGGTTTGCAAAGGCCGGAAAGAACGCCAACCTTCCTTGCCAGAGAGTAACACCAACAGTACTCTCACCAGGCAGCGAGTGGTCGATGAGGAGGCAGCTCCAATTGCCCAGGGAGATCACAGAAAACTTTGCTCCCGCCAGATCTGATCATGTGGTCAGAACCACGCAGAACCATTCTGATGGTGGAGCTTACCGTCCCATGGGAGGAAGGCATGGAGGCTGCCAACGAGCGGAAACATGCAAAGTACGCAGACTTGGCAGCAGAATGCAGAGAGGCTGGCTGGAAAACCATCATGTGCCCCGTTGAAGTAGGACCCAGCTTCGTCAAGTCCTCAACTGTACGCCTGCTCCGTGAAATGGGATGCATAGGAGCAGGGCGCAGGAAAGCCATGAGGGAACTGGCAGAAGAGGCAGAGAAGGGCAGCTTTTGGCTGTGGCTCAGGGGGAAAGAGGTGAGTTGGGGGCCAAACAAAGTGTGACCCATTCACTTCAACAAAAATTTACCCACAATAGTAAACACAATAGGCATAACTAAATAATAAACTGTAACTCTAGTGTGAAAAAGGCCATCAATCTAAGTTAGAAATCTAGCTACAATCAAGTTAGGACTCTAGTTACAACTCTAATAGTAATTAATTAACAAAACACACCCTGGGGCATGATCAACCCCAGCGTGATGACGCCAAGGTCCACTACTGAAGATGTGTCTTACAATAAGATAGTCAAATTATATAAAGAAAACAACCAGCTAATCAGGAAAAGCCATAGTCCAGTAAGACACCCCATCCCTTACCTCAGCCCCTTCCCTTACCCTGAAGGTAAGTATAAGGATGACCCCCAATAATTCCCCTGCCACAGCCCTAATCCCCACCCCGTGATCATACCAAGGAAATCATCCTTGTTGGCACCACTAGTGACACTCAGGCACTAGTGGGGCCCAGGGAGGTGTTCAGATGAGCACGCCAGCACAAAGGCACTGGTGGAGGTGTGTCAGGCTTCAATGCCCAGCAGGCAGACCACCAGCCCGTATTTTCAACTTTTTTATTTAAATGACCTATCCTATTTGACATATGTTTGTCTAAAAACATTCTACGTTAAATACTGCTACAAGACCAGGTAACCGCTGCAACTGAACGGACGTTATTTAAACAATCCCTCAGTATTTAACTCAATTACATATATATACAGTATAAAAAGACAAAATAAAATGACCTGTGATGCTCCCCCCTACTCCCCAGGAAAGTTAAAGTGAAGATTAGCTTGAACAACGACAGGTCAACAAAAATGAAGTCCTTCCTTAAAGGGTTAAAAAAAAGACTTGGAGCAAATCATCGAAAAAGAGCGACAATTTACTTACAATGGAAAAGAGCACGACATCTCACTCATCAGACTGATGAATGACGTGCCCCCAAAACTTCCTACTATCTCTCTCCCCCCTGCTCAATGCAACAAACCAGGTGAAAGTAGTCCAGTGACAATTGGAGGCTGGGGATACACAACAGTTGGTGAGTAATATTTCTGGCTGACTTTTAGCCATTACTTTACTTTAGTCAAACCATCTTGTCGTAAAAATGTTATTATCTAACTGTTATGCTCAATTTTTGAAAAAAAGCTTATCTGTAATAACGTTTAACTAGGGTTATCAGACTTTTTCTAAAGTGATCATCGGTAAGCAGTGGATTAATCACGATTAATCATGATAAAACACACTTGTTTAAACAATACAATTATGTTCCACTGTTAAATGTGTATTTGATATCGAAACACTTTTTCATTGTCAGATGGAAAAATCCAGAACAACTTGATGTGTGCTAACACAGAAGTCACTCTGTGTAAAGAGGACAACAAAGCAACCTGGTGTGCCTTTAAGCCTAGAGTGGACGTCTGCTATGTAAGGGAACCGTTAAGAAGCTTTTGTTTAATCTGCATACTTGCAATCTAAAATCTTATCTGATCACGACATTTATTGTTTCTCTCACAGGATGATACTGGCTCAGCTGTGGAGTATAGCTCTCAATTGCATGGAATTATTTTAAACACACCTCTCGATAAATGTGAAGAAAAAGTTGCAATTGCCAAAATCTGTTTCTACAGGCAGTGGATTATGAAGACCATGAGTTTACCTAATGAATAAACAACAGTACTTTAATATAGAAGTTTTAACCCTTGACTATCCTTTAGATATGCCTTAGGATGCTTAATGGGAATCAGTATCTGCAGCAAAATGTTTTACTAACAATTACTGTACAGTTGTATTTCACATTATGTGGGAGAAATACACTTCCTTATTAGTACTAAATAAAATAAAGTTGTACTCATATGTGCCAATTTTATTTTGCTGCCTTCTACAATTATAAACCCTAGACCTGAACAACAGGAGATTATCTTCCTATAAATCTCTGCTGTGTTGGATCTGAATCTTGTTATATTAGCGATCAGTAGACTACTACTGATTATAACAAAAGGCTACCACACGTTCTCCTACACGCCTGGTTGAGAAAGATGAGGTAAGAGACGTTTTACCACATCTGTTATACACAATTACTTTGAGATTTGACCTTTTCATTTAAATGAACACAACTGTACACAGAAATGTTTCACAACATGTTTTAATATGCATGATATGCAATTCATCGTTATTTCAAGCACTAAAAGTGTTCTAGAGACAGACAGTAAACATTTCCATTTGGCCTGTTCTTTTATGCCTTTGCTCACACACAAACAATGCAGAATGGACTTGCACTCCTTTGAGGTTCACCAAATACAGAAAGACATCCTCAGATAAAGATGGGAATCAGATGATCTTGACCACAGGGAAATACTTATGAGCCGAGAAATCGAACTCTGGGAGTACCTGAGAACAGGGAAACAGTTGTTAAAATTAATATTGTATTTAGCCAAAGCAATCACAGTGGATGTTAATATTCTGTTAGTCAGTTAACCAGAGCACAAGTACAGAGAGAAGGAGGGAAATGTTTTGCTTTTTGTACAAAAAGCTGTTTCACCTATCTGCTTTCGAGCATAAATTTAAATATAGATCAGATCTAATATTGCTTCCTGCTTCTGTGGGGATGTAATTAATTGTAACCTGTAGTTATGCCTGTATGTCTGCTTGTGATTATTCATAATGTTAAACATGTTGAGCACTTCCTGCCTTCACCAATGGTCTGCTGTCTGCTGCAGGACAAAACAAAAAGTAATGTCAACTCCCTAAAAAGTCCCTCCACTCCCCTCTGTCCAAAACTTGCCCAAACATACAATGGGCAATAACAACAAAAGAAGAAAAAAGAAATCCTCATTTCCTGTACTCCTTACTTTGGTGTCCTTCTTGTGCCCTCCAGCCAGGAGCTTCATAACCACTATGTTCGGTTTGGCCACCTTCAGTATACGGTTTACCTGTTAACAATTATTAGAAAAGTATTACTGACAGTGAAAAAAAAAATCAAAACAGATACTTATCTTTTTTTAATTGAGCAAAAAACGTGGACCTTGTAGGTTTATTTTTAACAAATATTTACTACAAGGGAAAGTAAACACTTTCATGCTTTAGAAATTGAAACCAGCAAGAGACTCAATTATTATTGAACTATTTAACTATTGTTAAACTAAAGACACTAAACTAAGACTAAAAACAAGGAAGCACAGATTTTACAGTTGCTTCCTTAACTCACCTCAGGATCTGGACTGGCTATGTTTTCTAAAATAAGCTTTGCCTGTTGAAAGTGTTTGCTGGCTGCTAGGTAGAGGTCGGCCGAGCCTGGAGGAGGATTGTACTTCTTCAGATCGGACATTTCCTGGATTAGGTCAAGTAAAAAACACAATAAAATAGTGTTGTATGCTTAAGAAGAACAAGAACAAACTGTGAGGTAATACAAAAGAATGAATACGCTACCTTAAACTGAATGTAGTGCACAGGTGGCGGCGTGACAACACTGTTAAATGGGACGAAGCGATGCTCGTAGCGTACCTGCTCACTGTCGAGCTCAAACTGAGGTTTATGTACTTTTCCATCCATATCCAAGGCTACCATGGTCTGACGAAGACAGACAGATAGAGAACAAGGGTCAGTTTGTGCAAAAGTAGATGGTTGAGAGCTCATTAATACAATCCTCACCTTGTACATACCAGCACACATGTTCTGGTACGCCTGGCTCATGGTAATTTCTTTGCTAAGAGGACGAACTACAGAGAAATAACAAACGTGTCATTCTCTACTAGAACTTTAAACATACCACATGTACATAATATTGGATTAATGTTTGAGGTGGATTGAAGTTTTGAAAGTATTTATCTCAAGATTAAGTACCTTTCTTTTTTTTCTTGGTCTTTTTGCTGCTACGCGCCTTCAACTGCTCCTCCAGGATCCGCTCCTCTGCCATTTGAGAGGAGTCAGCTCTGCTCAGAGTGGACATGAGCCATGCATAAAGGAATTCTGATAAGTACCTGGAATAAGAATGAAACATGTTAATCTAAAAAATTAAAATCAACCTAGGGTAATGGCAAAAATACGACATAAATGTAGGCTCTTTACCAGTAGATGTAGTAGTATTCATGCATGCTGTACAGCTCCAGTTCAAAGCCACTCAACAGGTACTGGATCATAATCCTGAGGTTATGATAAAGGATCCACGTACCCAGACAGGCTAGATGCTGTCGCTGAGGCTCAAGTTTCATCAGCAGACTGTGCAACGCTGCGTCCACCTTTTCTGCCTGTGGACATACGAGCAAGTTTTAGTAAGGGGTGAGATAATGAAAACGATCCTTCAAAGCCTTGATTATCATATTCAATAAATAAGCTTTTCTGTTGAATATACATGAAAGTTTCAGGATAGACAATGTGAGTATATTTCCCCTGCTTTAACTTAATAAAATGAATATAAAGGGGAGCAGAGGAGGTAACGAGTCACCTCGTCCTGCAGTGTGGCAAACTCCTCGAGAATGTGACCGAGTTTGTCTCTTTGACGAGCTCGGTTGTGTCCATGGATCTGGATTAGACTGCAGAAAGGCTGTAGGGAGAAAATAAACAATACATACTGTATGTGTGTGTGAGTATACTCACAATATATACTTATAATATATGTGCGTATACACACACATTTCTTCTTCTTTTTCTTTCAGCTTTGTCCCTTTTTCAGTGGTTGCCACAGCAAATTGTTGATTTCCATCTCTCCCTGTTCTCTGTATCTTCTACTCTGACTCCAACTATCTGCATGTCCTCCCTCACTGCATCCATATATCTCCTCTTTGGACTTCCTCTTTGTCTCCTACCTGGTAGCTCCATCTCTTGCATTCTTTTACCAATGTATCCACTGTCCCTCCTCTGCACATGTCCAAACCATCTCAATCTGGCTTCTCTAGCTTTTTCTCCAAACCTTCCTGTCTGTGTTGTCCCTCTAATGACCTCATTCCTGACCCTGTCCATTCTTGTCACTCCTAAAGAGAATCTTAGCATCTTTAACTCTGCCATCTCCAGCTCCGCCTCCTGTCTTCTGCCTATTGCTACTGTCTCTAAACCATACATCATGGCTGGTCTCACCACCGTCCTGTAAACCTTTCCCTTCACCTTAGCTGACACT